AAGAACAGCCAATCAGTCACAACTGTACCGTGTTAATACCAAACTAAAATATCCAAGAACAGCCAATCAGTCACAACTGTACCGTGTTAATACCAAACTAAAATATCCAAGAACAGCCAATCACATATCACACTACCATATACTAATTTTTAATATTAACAATAACATGAACTTATAAAATACCAAGAATTCTGAAATACACAAAAAACAAGTTTTCATTAATACAAATCTAGATGTTACACAGGATTAAGTCTTAATAAAAAGAAAATTAATTGTGGATCAGTTTTACTTATCTGGGTGAACAAGGAAATACTAAGATTACTTGGAATTCACCAATTAACAAGAAAAAAAAACTTACTACATGTATAATAAACTAGCTTTAGAAAAGGAAATATTAAACATCACAGATATTTTTAACTTTTTTAGCTCCTCTCTTAAAAATTTTAATGGTTTTAGGTCAGTCAGAAAAAAAACAACTAATTTAAATGTCTAAAAAAATACATTTTTACCAAGAATATATATTTTTTTATTTATATTTAGCTTTAACTTTATTTATATTTAAGTTTGCAATGCATATTATTCGTACCTTCTCCTCACAGACTTGAACTGACAAGATGAACAAATACGCATGTCAGGGGATATATAGTTTTCCTTCAAACCAAACAAATCACAGTTAGACTTGGTCAAAGGCTGGGATTGACTTAAGTTGTCAATAACTATCCGACAGACAGCACATGTCTTAAGTTCACTGGTTTTACCTATAAAAACAAAATGAGAAAGATAAATCTATTTATCACTGTTTATTCACAACCAAAACAGCGAATAACAGTTGTAGTAGGATTCATCTAGGACAGAAAAAACACAAGCCCTACTTAATCTTATTTCACCCGCAATCATACCTTCAAAAAGAAGACAAAATTAATTTTCTCCTTAACTACTTAAGAGGGATTAAAAGTAATATATCATAATTTTCAATTAAACATCAAAAATAGAACACTTTAACATCCAGAATGCACACATCAGTACAAAACAAACTTGCCAGAATGTTGAAAATTAGAAACATCATAAACAACAGGATACACAGTGTTAGATAAAATCAAACTGTTTCAGATGTGTTCACCTTGCCAGAATGTTGAAAATTAGAAACATCATAAACAACAGGATACACAGTGTTAGATAAAATCAAACTGTTTCAGATGTGTTCACCTGACGATATTAAATCAAAATGTAAATTTACTATAATGTAATATACAGTTATTTTATCAAATTATGGAAGTTCTTTATTTCACATGAGAAAAGTTTATAATATTAGAAAATCTCTTAGAAACTGCTGTTTATTCTGAGATGCACACGTACAATCTCTTAAAGAATTATAAATAATTCAAGCCTTAAATCTTGCATTTATGCTTAATAAGTGAATGGCTTGATTACTCACTACAAGGTGAATTTCAATATTTTTTACAACCAGATTTCATATTTGAATGGTTTGTTTGTTTTGAATTTCGCGAAAAGCTACACGAGGGCTATCTGTGCTAGCCATCTCTAATTTAGCAGTGTAAGACTAGAGGGAAGGCAGCTAGTCATCATCACCCATTGCCAACTCTTGGGCTACTCTTTTACCAACGAATAGTGGGATTGACCGTCACATTATAACGCCCCCACGGCTGAAAGGGCGAGCATGTTTGGTGGGACTGGGATTTGAACCCGCGACCCTCAGATTGCGAGTCAAGTGCCCTAACCACCTGGCCCATATTTGAATGGAAAGCAAAGAATAGTTAGCTGAAAGTTTACTGTTGAGAATTGTTTACACATCCATAATAATAATAAATCAGAAAAAGAACTTCCACAAATAATAAAAACTAACTAGATCACTAACTTCATTTTAACCAAACATAATTTTTATTTACAATTCTAAAATGACAACTCTATAATCTCCAAAAAAATATTCAAAATGATCAACAACTCACAACCAAAGTGCTCACGTCCAGCACTTAAAAGTATACTTGTGTATGGAAGCACATTTTGCTAATATAATAGTAAATTTACAAAATAATTTATAAGCACAATGAAGTTGTTTGTTTTTTGGAAACATACAAAATATTTCAACAGACCAATGTTCTGCCGAAACATATAGTATGTTCCTCAAAAATGAACTACTTCATTATGCTTATAATTGTTGCTCGTCAATTCACTTTAAATTAAATAGCATCGTTGCCACATATTAGGTGGAATTTCATCGAACACTATAGAAAGAGTTATGGCTGATTTAAAGACATGAGAGTGATGAAGATAAAACTTTCAGGACACGCACCTGTTTGTATCATTACATTTAGTGATATTTCACTGAACAATGTAGGATAACTTAATTACTCAACTAATAACAGTTACTAAAGTGCATCTAAAAAGAGAAGTCTAATATTAAAAGAACTTACTCTGAAAGTTGTTATTATCTCCAAGATCTTTTGCAGTTTCATTACTTTGCAGTTCACTGGAATACGAAAGTTTTCATATTTTACACTTGAAGAAGAATGGAATACATAGTGAAACTTTAAGAAACCTATTCTACCCATCAATAAATCTGTTATTAGGTGTAAACAACCACCCCAAAAAAAACTGACTTGTTTTCAATTTATTCATGTACTATCACACAACAAACCTGTTAGATAGGTTTTAAGAAAGGCTCAAATCACCTTACACTTATCATGTTCTTTTTACTTTTGATCACCAGTTAATGAATATTTCACATTATCACACACAAAAATAAATAAATTGAAGAATTAAAATGTCTTAAGGAGAACTAGCACTAATATCACAAAAATGTGTATTTACCCAACTTCATAATTTACTTAAACAGTAATAAAAATGCATATACTTTAAATGTTGTGGTCTAAATACAAATGTATCACTAAAAATTAATCACACACTTTACAAACAAATCAAAGCAAGACAAGAAACCAGCATATAAGTTTATTTAATTATCCCTATGCATACTGGCTTGTTCAGGTTAACCAAACTTGTAGCTACCATATAACCAGGAAACTATATGTGATACAACTCTTAAAACATACCGAGAGCTTTTTCATGAAATTTGGTCAACTTTTAGTAAAAAAATCTGATTTTTTAAAGAAAGTATTTATACTCATGATCTATCTGTAAATTTACAATGGCTTTACTGAGTCAGTCTCATTTTCATGCTGTGAATAGAAATACTTCATCTTAAAACTTTCATATTCCATTTGCAAAACCTTTAGAACCAACCTTCTTTATTTTCTCTATTCTAACACTAATTGTAGTAAATCAGTGTTTAGTGAAAAGTTGAAAAATGCAAAACAAAATCAATAATACCTTTTTTTTTCTAAAATGACTGCAGATTGTAACAGATATTACAATAACTTATCCTAATAGCCCGAGCTTCTAACCTTTTCACATCTGCTTTCTTTTAGTTTTATTACTTTACTGTACTTTTGATCTTCTCTCTAGTGAAAAGCACTAAATTAGTGGAAGAGCTTAGTGTAAACAAATGATTAAGTTGTAATCATGTGATACAAATAGGATGAGCTGATCTCATGAAACTTAATTTTTTTTTAAATTACGTTTTGTTATCTAACCTAACAAGTTTTTAATTTTTTCATTTTATTTATAATAAAAATAAAAAAGATACATAAAAACAAGAAATTCACAACTCCTTTAAGTGTTCAGACCACTTGCACACAGATACCATGCTTCGGTAACTCTACTTTTTGCTCACCACGTTGTTTGTCCAAAAGAAATTAATGTAGCTTTCAAGGATACATTTTATAATAAAATAAAATGTATCAGGCACTAGAATAGAATGTTTTAAAACTATATTTCTACCAAGCTATAAGAATGTTAAAAAATTCTGTTATTGCTCAGAGCAATGATTTTACTCAACCAACATCTCTGACCATGAAAATTAAACAAATGAATACGAGTTCAATACACTACAAAATGCTCTACCTACTGAATATAAACACGCCCATCACATAGAAACTTGGTGCAGATAACTCCTTTGAAAGCTATGATAAGATGTTTAGGTTTGATAAATTAATGATATCTCAGCAAATTGAGAAAATAGGAGGTTCAAATTTTATATGCTAACCTGCCACTATCTACAGTTTGTGTTTCTAATTGGTTAGACACTTTGGAACCTATACAAAGAACAAAAAAAATATATAATGGAATTCAAAGCACAAGATGTGTCAAATGACAGAAAGGAGTTTAACAACATAGATAATACTAGAAATATGACTTATAAACTGTGTTTATATGTCAAGTTTACCGACATACATTGATAATAAAATTCTTTAATTAAATTTTCAACGTAACTGTGAAAAGGCTATTACATGCACACTTTGATCCATCTGTATGCATAATATTATACGAGAAACATACAAGTGTTACACACAACCTTATGATCTACAAATGAGCAAAGTAATTAATCTAAAAGTTTCTAATACTCATATTTCTATCTATATTAGCAAATTTTTGAGGAAAACAAACAATCTTAATATGACAAGATTCACTTCACTTACCTACTATCACCTGTCCTCAAAATGCCTTTTACTATTTCAACAGTTTGACCATCAGGGATACTCACAACTCCATTCATACCTCCAGTTCCTTCTTGATTTTTATTTCCACTGTCAACTGTGGAATTAGAAGTAGTTGTATCCAGAGATGTTGTAGACATTTCGAGATTCCTGCCAGCTGCTGTCAACGCTAAGGTGGCTGTAGTTGTCACAAAGGTGACAGGTGGCTAGAAAGAGGAATAACCAAAAATGCATTTGAACACAAAGCATATGTCCGCAGAAAAACTTCATAACATTTTGTAGTCTTCAGTACTCATGGTTATTCAAGTATAAAACAAGTGCATCGGGAAACTGTACAGTGTACAGTAGTTTTGAAAAACATCCAGATATAATTTTTGTCCCCAAAAAAGCAAGCTTTTCCATATAAATGATGGTTACGTTTGTAAGTTTTAAGAGTGTAAAAATATTTTGTTTGTTGCTGTTATGTTATTCTACAAGATGTAACCAGAGTAAGCTAATTTTGTAGTTTTTACTGTAAATGTTTACCTGCTTTCCACTTCAGTACATTTTTTGTTATTATAAGGACAATGGTGAAAGAAAATTTAATTTAATAATGTTTCTTTTTCTTAAAAATGTGCATGAGCCATCTTTCACTTCTAAAAGAACTACCTTATATCCTTTACAGTAGTCCAAAACCAAATTGACACTCTAGATACAGGGGGAATCCGAAACATAAAACAGTTAATTTACAATGCAATTAATATTTCCTTCATAGTTCCATTCAGTTAAAAAGGTAACATTCTGGAAGGTATAAATATATCATAACTACAACGTTTTAGAGGTACAATACTAGAATTTTAAACATACGAAAATGGTTAAATTTGGTACGATAAGATTTACCACACAGCCTATTAAAGCCATTTCTTCAGCATTTAACAGTTGATTGATGTTTTACACAACTGTTCTACTTCACAACAACACTCAGGTATCCTACACCAACCTGTGTGCTTGGCTGACCATGGGATGGAGGTTTGACCAAGGGACGAGTCCTCTTGCGAACTGTGTGCTTCCTAAGGAGTTGTTTGTAATTCTCGCTTTTCTTGGAGAGGTAGTAATACTGGACACAATCATTGACACTCTAGTAAAGAAACAAATTTATTAATTTTTTTATGTTTATTTATAACCTATTCACTAACTTTAAGAACAAATTTAAGCAGTAAAGTCTGTTTAAAATTTTCAAGACCTCAGAAGCAGATTCATCGAGAAAACTTTCCAGATTGCAAACATTTTAAAAATATTACTTTCATTTCCTGTGGTTAGAAAATATCTCACATGTGGATTACTAAACACTTAGTTGACCTAAATTCAACTTGATTTAGCTCTTGTAATGTTGACTGGATTATTTGAGACATAGTTATATCATATCAATTTGTTCTATAAGAGCCATGATAGTGAATCATTGCCTTGATTAAATAAATTATTTCTACAGTACTATAGTAATTTTTATATAAAATCTAGTTACAAACTATGTTTCAGAGCTATTTTATTCTGAATCAAGTTTTAAAAAAATACAAATTAATAATATAAATAAACAATATGAAAACATTCACAGAGAGAGAACTTTACAATAAGACACTTTTCAGAAGTCAGATGACAATTTCTGCAATATATGTATATATTTGGTGCTGTGATTATCATTATGAAGGAGAAATGTATACCAAAAACAAATCTTAAGTTTTTATATTACACCAATGTTTCCAATAACCTTTCTTTCTAGATAGCTTGCTATGAAGACAAAGTTTTTTGGGTGCTGAAGGTATTTTTCTCGAAAGATCTCTTTCTCGTGATCTGTCCACATATTGAGGAGTTGCCGTTGTTGGTACTCAGCCATGGGATCTTCCACGAAGCCGTTGTTGTTTAAGAACTTTATTCTCCTCTGTCTCTGATCAAGAAGAATCGGAGGAATGACGGCATAGCTCTTCATTTTCTTGTCTTCAAGCTGGAACAAGCATTTAGTGTTAATAACGACAGTGCCATATTTTTGTGTAAGGGCAGTGTGAAGAAAAGCAAAAAACTTTTGTTATTTTATAAATTTTGAGAATAAACATGATGTTTGTACATTATCTCTTAAACACACACATTATTATTCTCTACGGGAGTAGGAATCCAACGGTATGTGGCTTTTTCTAGTAAACATTCAATATTTTTCAAACATATTTCTTTACCAATAAAATGGTAATAATAAACAGAATGCTTTGACATTAAACAGCAAAAGTTGAATAGACCAAATGTCTGTAATTATTTGGAACATGCCCAATTAAGCAATTCTCATACGAATCAAGACATTTTTGGACTTTATAAGTCAAAAAGTTCCAGAATGTTTTGGAATACCGAACCCTGATCATTAAAAAAACATTTGTTTAAGAACTACAAAGCATGGTCTATAAGATCTGTTTGAAACAACTGTATACTTTTACTATGTAATTATTGTTTGTAGTATAGCACAAAGCTACACAATGGGCTATCTGTGCTGTACCCACCATGGGTATCGAAATCTAGTTTGTACATCGCAAGTCCACATACATACTGCTGAGCCACTGAGGGAACTGTGTAATTAAACACAATATTAAAAGATAAGTAAATAAAAGATATATATATATATATTCAAATTAATTTTATGACACGAAGTTATAGTTTTAACACATACATGTGCTCAGGTGATTGGTATATAGTCTATACTTCAAAACAACCAAATTACTAAGCTCTTATACAAGGTTGTAGAATTCCCATTATACAAGAAACTCTGTGAAAGTTTTCATATTACAGTCTTGGTATAAACATAAAAAGAGTTATACTGGAAAGTTACATGATCTGTATATACTAATTTGAACAGAGCTGTAATACAAATACCTCTTGCTCATGAATTCCATCCACTATTTCTTCCAATTCAGCCTCGCTTCTTACTCGTTGTCCGACCCGAGAGAACCTTTCTTTGTCCTCACGTTGTTTCCTTAACTCAGGAAATTGCTTTTCAAAAAACTCTCGCTGTTTGGTTTCTTTTACTCTGTTAGAAATAACAACAATCATTTGATTTTTTCAATTCTTGACATACTGAGGAACTGTTTCCCTTAATGAATGTCCGTGTTTGAAAAAAAAATATGTATACTGGTTAGGACTTAGCTTTATAACCTTGGAGAAGTTATAATAATAATAATAATAAAAATTATGCACTTTTTGACATGACTTAATTAAAAAATTCACTGTTATCAAAGTACTTGCACTAAATAAAAAAAAACAATGTACAAAGATCATAGATTTACAGCTTTGTTTCATATATTTACATATTACATCTGCACTGAGAGAAAACCTAAATATTTCTAATTCCGATATAAATATTACCATTAGAAGGAAAGAAAATCAGAATTAGAGTTTGGATTTTCTTTATTACTTTATGAAAACAAATGCAAAATAAAATTTAAATTTTAACACATCAGATAGTTTTATTTCGCAGACAATTTGGGTGTGGTGTGGGAAGAGATCAGACAGAATATTTTACAACTTGAGGATATCATTTGCTCTCCTGGAAAAACAAAAAAACAGGACAATGGGCTGAAAAGGTTGAATAAATTTCTATTTTTAATATTAATTCATATAAAATTAAAACTTAAAAATGTCTAACCCCAAAAATAAAACAAGATTGCTCAAAATGTAAATTTTTTTTTTTTTTTTTTTTTTTTTATAAGAAACTATTCGTGAAGGTTTGTTCATTTTTGTTAAACACAAAGGTACACAATGAGCTATATGTGCTTTGCCCACCATAGCTGTCAAATATCTTGTTTTTTTTACCAGTATCTTCTGAACCAGTAAATGTATTTTTATAGAGTATACACACTTTATTTCAATGTTAACATGACTTTCAGAAATTTAGAGCGCTTGTCATTTTTTATTCCACAAGTTCTGTAACGTGAGTGACAACTTATCAGGGTTCTGTATCACGATCTCATGCTTTTACAAAAGTAAAATATACTTTAAAACTTATTACACTTACTTGCGATTACCACTGCTCTCTCTTTTTTCCATTTTTTTCAGCCATGCCTGCATGAGCTTGGTGTAATTCTCAGTTAGATAAGTATCCTACAAATAAAAAAAAACGAAAATTCCACTCACAATCTTGTAAAAAATATGTAAAGGATTATGAGTGTAATAAACTATATTCACTATAAAATTTTAGTTCTTAAAATTTTTCAAAGTGGACTTATATCTCATTTCTAACTTAAAGGCGGGTATTTCTGTAACATCGCATTAGTTGTAGTTAAACATTTCTCTCTACTCACTCTCTAAACATAAATAATTCCTTATCTCCCTAAATGTCATTTAACAGTGAAATATAACTCAAAAGAAATACTTGCTTCTTTTAAACCTTAAACTAGATCTCTTAATTGTCAAGAAATTAATCTTTTGTTCATAGGTAGTGTCATCTATTTGCATTCTTTAATTTTGTGCATATATTCTAACACACAGCATTATGGGTATAATCACTTGTCTAGTGCACTCTACTGACAGAATTTCAGTCATCCATCGTCACATAGTAATGCCTTTAAAGGACATATACCTTTTATTTACATAGTTTTAGGTAAATCTTTCGAAGTTATAATTTATGATAAAAATGCTAATTTCAGATATGCTAGAAAACTCACACTGGAAGAAAGAGAGAGATACCTCTGGATGTTTGGATCCCAAAAAAGCCAAACGGCGGAGAGAAAATATAAACCAAACAGATCAAAACACACAATTGTTTAGTCCCATGACAACAAACTAAGAGTTGTAAGTTCCCAATTTGAAGAGGTATCTCCAGTTCTGACTGGAGATACGCTGAAAAACTGGATAAGGAAGTAAACACTCAGTTAAGGAAGTCTGTTTATGTGAATTGGTAATCCATGTAGTGGACAGAGAGGAAATCTTACTTCTTAAACAATAGGCCATGGATAAACTAAGTATAAAGATATAATAAGGATGTGTATAGATAAAAAACTAAGGTTCTGGGCTGATCCAGAAAAAGTCTCCACAGAGGAGAAAGCAGAGGTTACAGTTGTAAAAGGTTGAGCTTGCCATAAAAGATGTGATACGAATTGTGATCTCAAGATAAAGTTCAGAGTTTATAGCACATTCATCTAGACATAAGATTGGAAAAGAGGGTCAGCAATCTGTAGTTCTTTAACCCTCTCACTGTCCAATTATAAAAAAGGGGTTACATGCATTGCAGCTCTCAATATGTCGAGTTTTTACCAAATTTGAAAAATACGGCTCTTGTTATTTAGGTTGCTAACCCTAGAACTAGGAAGACAGCAAGAGTCTATCAATGGTCCACAAAGGGATGGATATAAGATATCAAGTGACAAAGATAGGACACCAAAATTTAAATAACCCTGGAAAAAAACACCAGACTGAAAAAAAAAAAACTAAACAGTATGCTATATAAATTAATAAACATCAGAACAGTTGGAAAAATGTAGTACAAGTGTTTTTATTTTATATTCAACTGATAACTGACCAAATTATAAGTGGAAAAGAAAAGTGAATTATAATAAGCATTATAACTTTGTAAGGACATATTGAATTTTCCATAACATTTAACATAAGATGGTGTAAATTCATTTGTAATGACTTAAAATAACTGTGTACTTCAGATTCTTGATTAATCTTACCCTTAGTTGTCTTTCTTGTTGGGTTTTCATCAAATAATTCAACAGTTTCTTCTTCAATGATGTAAAACTATAGAAAACAACATAAAGTTAGCTACTGTTAGTTCATTATTATATTCTACAGAGGTGTTTATGAAATACTTTAAAACTGTATAATCTACATTGTACGCAATTCTGGAACAAATAATTTGATTATGTTGTTGTTTGTAATTAAGCACAAAGCTAAACAATGGGCTCTCTGTGCTCTGCCCGCCACGGGTATCGAAACAAGGATTCTAGCATTGTAAGTCCGCAGACATACCGCTGTGCCACAGGGGATTATGTTGTTGTTTGTAATTAAGCACAAAGCTACACAATGGGCTATCTGTGCTCTGCCCGCCACGGGTATCGAAACAAGGATTCTAGCGTTGTAAGTCCGCAGACATACCGCTGTGCCACAGGGGATTATGTTGTTGTTTGTAATTAAGCACAAAGCTAAACAATGGGCTCTCTGTGCTCTGCCAGCCACGGGTATCGAAACAAGGATTCTAGCGTCGTAAGTCCGCAGACATACCGCTGTGCCACAGGGGAGGGGTCTTTGATTGTGTACTTACAATTGCAACTGAAATTATATCTCAGAAAAATTTGATTCAGCAATGTAATAGGAAAAGAAACATAAAATACAAATATTTCAGGATAAATGCCGTCACTTTCACCCAGAAAATTAAATAGTTTCTCACCCTATAAATTTTGTACAGTTCAGGTGGTAAACTACACATAACTAGAGATTACTCAATATTTTCATATCTTACTAATTTACAAAAATACAAAAGGCTAAACTTTTTTCGGTGCAACTATCTTTAAACCCAATAACCAGTAGGTGGCGACATTTTAATTTAATTTTGTTTAAAAAGATCCAGTTGACCTTATACTAGCTTAGAGATAACCCCAAAAAAGGTTAAATATGAATATTATTATATCAATTTTTTATTCTGTATAATACAGAGTTAAGCCTTTTTCAAATGTCATATTTCACCTTAAGTACCACAGTACCTAAAACTAGTCAACATTTTGAGGTGCTTAACTCATTAACACATTCTTGTTTAAACCTGTAAGAATGAAACTGGTTGATTTGACCAACCTTGGATTTGTGAAGCTAAACATACTACAATTCTAAATTTATTACATATATCTTCACAGAATTTGGCAAATTTTTAGTAAATATTACAAGCCTGTTGTACATAAAATACAGATTTTTTAATAAAATATATCTACCAAAGATTTGTCTGTGAATTTCTGAAACCTTTACTGAACCATTCTAAACAAAAGGTGATTTTCATATTTCATTTGCATAACCTCTAAAATTTCCTAAACTAACATCAAAAGTTTCTTTGGGTGAAATTATATATTTTATCTTTTGTTTTCTCTAGCCTAACATTAACTGTAGAGAAATAATCACTGGACAGTGAAATAAAAAGCTGAAAGCAAATTAATAACGTTTTATTCTTCTTCACAATACTGCAGTTAGTTGAAACTGTAGAAATTTTCACATCTCTTTTAATTTAATTTTATAGTTTTATTGCTGTACTTTATACTCTAGAGCAGTAATCTTGCATCAAAGTTAATAAATCACAGTGAGAGTCCATAACTGTTTCTTGTGGAGAGCTAACATATACAGCACATGATCTAATGATATATTTCACACTAGCACTTGAGCTGGTGTAATATTAAACAATTAATTTACTGAAGTTCGTTAGGCTAAGCTGAGAAGTTTACAGTTTTAAAATAGTAGCTACAATTGTTAAAACATACAATATTAAAACAAATATTTGCACAACAATAAATGAAGATTGCTAGCACTCATTGTACTCGAGCCGTTTCTACTCAAGTTAAAAGTATTGACATTTTCCATACAAATTTCAGTGTTAAAAAACAAATTCAGGTCACTTTCAAATATGCATTTTAGAAAACAAATAATATATCAGGAACTTGAATAGAATGTTCCAAAACTACTATAATTCATCCAGCTTTCTAAGTAAGCTACAAATAGGTTTAAAAAACGTGTTATTAAACATGCAGACTTGTTACATTTAACTAGAGGAGAATCTGTTCTTTTTGTTGGTTATAAATATATCCATCATCTGCGCAAATTTGATGAGCAAACAAGCTAGAAAGTTAGAGAGGGAAGGGGTTGAAATGGTTGGTTTGACAAATTTTAGGTTATTACTTGTAATTATGCTTAATTTGTGTTTCTAATTGACTGTAAACTGCAGCAGCCTTTTCTTAGAAGGATGAAAATTCTGAAGTGAGAAATTGGATCTCAAATGCATTACGTGACACAGAAAAATGAACTTTGTGATTGTTTGAAATATTTCTTCCTGAAATTAAGAAGTTAAAACTTAGATAATATAAAAATTTGAATTATAAGTTATATTTTCATGCAAAGTTTATTGACATACATTGATTATAAAGTTGTTTAATTAAATTTTGAATATAACACTCTAAAAGGTCATGACCCAATCTTGTGAAATACAGTAAAGTGCTGTTTTTTTTTTACACAAAGTTAAACTTCAATTTAATCCACTTATTCATTATTGGATTTCAAAAACATTTACATTAGAAGAATCCCTAGCTTCCCCCCCATTAATTTTCCAATTTTTCTCGAGATATTTTCACAGATTAAAGCGATACTCCAAGTACACCAAGCCAGGTAAACGTGCTACCTAAATTAATTTTGTATAATATTAGTCAAAGGGCAGTTTCACAGTGTCCAACCAGTTGTCTCTGAAAGGTTTGAGAAGTCAAATCTACAGGAGCATTAGATTCTAATTAAAAACTGTAACAAGCCATGGTTATCATATACTTCAATTTTTGGTGATACTAAAAAAAAATCACCTAGGATGAAAAATTAGACAAACCACAAAATAAGAAACTCGATAACCCAGAGTAGATATTCCTTCTTTCCTAAGACAAAACTTAAAATATTATCTTACCCAGTAAACAATTAACAATGGTACTCTTTTAAATTCACAGTTTTCAGGATTAAATCCGTCAAATATTACCCTCCTTGAAATCTAAGGATTTATAAGAATTCCACACAAAGTCAGAACTAGCAGCCTGCATACATAACTTTAGTTAATTTTTAAACTATCCCAAACTAATTTAATCATAACTCAAAATTTAACGTTACAGCATTAACACTATATATATGCATGGCTGAGGGTCAAAGTGCATATAACATGAACCCACATGCGTTCAGTGGTAAAATCTGTACTTGAATTGGAGGAAAACAACTGGCTCTTCACTGATCAACATTATTCTACCCTGATTTTTACTTTATATTTCTGATCATTGTTAAAATAAATTTTAAAACCTTTTTTTTAATTTTATATCGAATCATTTTTTCTGACTAAAAAACTTCCAAAAATAGTGATCACATTCTGTCTAGTTATTTTGACAGAATGCTTCAAACTAAAACAATAAAGCATAAGCTTCACCAAAAACATGTGGGACATAAAACAGATATAACTGGCTGATATATATAAATGAAAATAGGTAACAATTTAGGCCTAAGAACACTCATTTGGCAATAAACTGGTTTTGAACAATTGATGGTTAAAAAACAAATTTAAAATGATTGAACATACAACAGAAGTTAATGATATAAGGCTCTATTCCATAAATTGTTATTCATGCTTTACTTAAAAGTATTTCTAATATAATAACCAAACAAATAACCACTTACCTTCTTTTGTTTTCATGATACACGGCAATGTCCGAGGGCTGATTATACAGAGGCTAAGAGAAGAAAAATATCATCACCAATTTTTTATTTTTAACAGATTAAATGGAAATGCTCAAATACCAATTTTTTGTATTGCAAAAAAATTTTAATAAATGTGAATAAGAATTAATGTTTTTTTACTGTCAGTATCTTGGTAAAAAACACAGTTCTTCAACCAATCTGTTACTGAATCAGATTGACATATTTGCAGGAAAGGCATGCAACCATGGCAACTGAATCTCACATATGTGTTTGTTTTCTGTAATCTATATACACACATGAGAAGAAAATAATACTAGATCTTATTTTATTGAAGAATGATAAAATGAAGTATACGAAATTAGATTAAAAGTTCAAAACTTCAAGACTGAAACTTAGTTGACTGTTCCAAAGGTTCTTGATTAATAAGAGATAAATAGGTAAAATGGTCTGTTTTAAACTATTAAGTAATATTATATCCTAAAGAACTAACCAGGTCCAATCTGTATTCTTACCAGGTGTATACAAGGTCCTAAACAAGCTGAGATACTTACCAGGTGTATGCTATGTTCTAAACAAGCTGAGAAAATTACCAGGTGTATGCTATGTTCTAAACAAGCTGAGAAAATTACCAGGTGTATGCTATGTTCTAAACAAGCTGAGATACTTACCAGGTGTATACAAGGTCCTAAACAAGCTGAGATACTTACCAGGTGTATGCTATGTTCTAAACAAGCTAAGATACTTACCAGGTGTATGCTATGTTCTAAACAAGCTGAGATACTTACAAGATGTATACTAAATCCTAAATGTTCCAAACAAGCTAAGATACTTACCAGGTGTATGTTATGTCCTAACTGTTCTAAACATGCTCAGATACTCACTAGGTTTATGCTAGGTTCTAAACAATTTCAGACACTTACCAGGTGTATGCTGGGTCCTAAATGTTCCAAGAGACCATGAGCTTTCTGTGCTTTTTTCTAGAAAATGAATAACATGTGAATATAAAATGTTATTTTGAGTTGTATTTTATTATTATTAATATTGTTAACATTAATATTCTGGTGCTATTATATAGTGCAGTCTACACAGATACTATAATCATTACTGTTTTAACTTTTGTTTATTTGCAATTGGTGCTAGTTATTATAAATAATACTTTTAGACTAATGAAATACAAAATACCATTACATAACATTTTGGGGGCAAATATAATCGGAATGAAATAAATTCCAACAATTGAAACCAGCACAATTATAACCTAAATTTAAGGTACTCTTTTGGAACACGCAACTTATTAAATTATTATATTTGCTGAACAAAAACATGGATAGGTATAAACTATTTAGCAATCATTAAAACGGTGATGAGGATAGTATCTGTGTAGACCGCATGCTATAGTGTAAATATCTTTGTGGACCACATGCTATTGTAGCACCAATATTCATATTTAAGGAATATACATTTCAAAGTAATATGTTTTATTAAACCTTTCATAACCACCATCAAGAAAAAGTAATTTAAAAAGTTCAACAGTGTACAATTCACTAGGACAACAACTCATATTTGATTGTAATATGGATAATTTCTGAATTTTCTTTAACAGAAACTCAGCTTTTGATTTTCTGTTTTATTGTATATAATAATTGTGTATTAATTAAAACAAATACAACAAATGATGTTATGGGACTGTTAAAGTATGTTTATATATACATTTAACAACAACTCGCAATAAGTGACTTACAACATCTCCAAATTTAACTGCGGGCAAGTCCAACTTTACTTAAGTTTCAACTGTCTCAGAAAAAGAACAATAAAAGTATTCTAAAATGTTAACTCAAAGTCAAGTAACACAACTTTCTCATTGCTGCCAAGCTAAAAACAAAATATTTTTATATAAAATTTATTCAGTATTCACTACCAATCATTTTATAAGAAAAGATCCACCTTCACAACAAGACACTACATTCACACAGCAGGCTGTGATAAACACTTTGATCAAAAAATCTTCAATAACTTCATAAAAAAACACAAAAAAACATCCATTTCATTTGGAGCAAATCTAAACAAGTCAAAGAACTTACTCTGTTATCTGAATAAATTAACTGAGCTATGCTGAGCTGCTTAGATTCCGAGACCAATGCTTCTTGCGGTTTCTTCCTTGTATCAGAGGGCTGGCTTGCTTCTGCTTCTAACTCAAGCTGGTCAAGACAGAAAACTTTCATCTTAACACTTTCCTTACAGATTATAGTGTAGAAAATTTCAAGCTAATATATGAAAGTATAGGAGATAGATATAACACCCAATTAAGACACTGCAAACCAAACACTGTAATTCATTTAAGTCAGTCACTTTTCAGCCAGCGTGTTAGGAGTAGCATCAGATTGTTGCTTTTGTTACTAGACTAGTAGCAATACATCATGACAAAAAAAACTTATTAGTTAAAAACAGTACAAAAGATTCTATCTTTTAACACTGATAATATTGATAACAGCTTGGTGCTTGACTTTGTACTTTTTAAGTAGCTGGTATAAAGAACCATCCAATTCTGAATACTTTTTTTGGGGGGGGGGGTTGTTGATTTAGAAAAACAAACAACAGTTTTAATTTGGGAAAATTAACTCTTAATCTGGCAATGTTAGTATTTTTTTTAATGAACTTGCACTGATGTAATTGTAAAAAGTACAAGAATTTTATTTTCAAAATACTTTCAGCTATATCAAGTTAACAAATAACACCATGTGCTTGTGGTGAATTTCCGATGACAAACTTTCTAAACTAATTTGGAGAAAATCTTCTTAACCCTATGCACGGGGATAGGGATCAAAGTGCACAAGCCATGACCTTTTACAGTGTGTCATTCAACATGGTATTATGTTGTCGATGTCAACTACTGGTTTTACGCTACACTGCTAATTTAGCAACAATTACTTGTAAAGGAGAGTAAATACCAGATACAGTGTACAGGGATACTGAAAAAACTGTAGATATGCATTTCAGAAGTTCTACAAGTTATGCAAACTATACAATAAACAAAAGTACTTATATTCTTCACAGGAAAATCACCTTGAACTCTGACTTGTCAATTCACAGACGTATCTTGAGTACAAACACCTTTGCAACTCATCTGACTGTGTACGACAGACTTGTACAATTTACTAAAAGCTTGTGACATTTTGTGTAGATACACTTTGAAAATTCAGAATTATAGTCAGTATTCGTTCTCCAATCCAGGGTTGGTCTAATGGACCAAACCCATGCACATTTAGTTAAACTGAAAGAGGCTTATTTTAAGAACATAATTTTCTTTCCTAAGAAGCTCATGTTCCTGAAATTATCCTACTTTTTAAAATAATGTTTCAAACTGGTTGGTAAACAAATGAAATTACCTCAATATTGATTGTACAAACTTGTTAATGAACAATAGTAATAACAGATATCATCTTAGAACCGAAGCACCTTCTAACAATGCTAAGGTTAAAATATTATCAGAACTGAAGCACATTCTAACAATGCTAAGGTTAAAATATTATCAGAACTGAAGCACATTCTAACAATGCTAAGGTTAAAATGTTATCAGAACTGAAGCACATTCTAACAATGCTAAGGTTAAAATGTTATCAGAACTGAAGCACATTCTAACTATGCTAAGGTTAAAATATTATCAGAACTGAAGCACATTCTAACAATGCTAAGGTTAAAATATTATCAGAACTGAAGCACATTCTAACAATGCTAAGGTTAAAATGTTATCAGAACTGAAGCACATTCTAACTATGCAAAGGTTAAAATGTTATTAGAACTGAAACACGTTCTAACAATGCAAAGGTTAAAATGTTATTAGAACTGAAACACGTTCTAACAATGCAAAGGTTAAAATGTTATTGATTTATATAGCATGTTTACATTACTTTCAATCTCTTTTTTCCAAAATATAACTTTGTTTTAAGTTACATACTTTCACAACACAGTTGACCTTTAGAATCCTAGTTGAATATGTATGCTAAAAGAGACACAAAATTAACAGATCCTTCCCACCGATTCAATCAACAGGTTTTAATTGCAAACAGGAATTTACTGGTTTTGGAAGTAAACAGTTTAACTTTTCATTCCCCACCCAAGTATACATAAAAGATAAAATGAAAACAGAACAAGATTTAATATTGATCATCATTTTATTTTATTAGAGTTAACTATTCAAGATGGAGACTACAATTGGCACTGAACTCTTAGCCTGGACATGAATGTTAGGTTGAAGTGTAAAAATACTGTACGAGGTTCAAAAACAAGCTAATTATAAGATTGCACTTTCATAAGATCCATTTTCTTTATAGAGACACTTCTACATTTATACATTACTTTTGTTTGGATTTTTCTTGCTATAAGAAATTTGTAGTTAAAGTTTTTGTAAAACAAAAATAACAAGTTGATCTACATAAAAAACAAATAAATCCATACTGTAAACCAAGACAAACCAGTTAAGTATAATGTTTCAATAAATCAGAAAAGTTTTTGAATTTAGATCATCAAGTTCATAGATTTTAAAATATACAATGACATCTGATTTGTCTGTTTATTACTATAATATATATCCGAGTGTTTGATTTGTCAACTTTTTCGAATTTTACGCAAAGCTACACGTGCTATCTGCGCTAGCCATCCTTAATTTCGTAATGATGGACAAGAAGGAAGACAGCTAGTCAACATCACCCACAGTCAACTCTTTTACCACCAAATAGTGGGATTGTCACATTATACCCCCCCCCCAATCCGTCAATCATTTTCTCAAGTTATTATCAGATAATGTGAGAAGCGAACCTACAAATGCTACAGCTAGCACAAGTTAATAACTTTTGATCAACACGATAATAAAATGTAAAAAAAAAAAACTTTGGTCATTCTGTGCTTGTGACTAAAGTAAACATTTAAACCATTACTTGATCTGTCTCCTACGTTGGTTAGGTCATGTTAAAAGAAAAAAAAATTTTCCTTTTATTTTTACATATTAAAATTAAACATCATAGTTTGGAATTTGCTTTTGTAAAATTCACAAAATGTTTACTTCTGAGCTTCTAAGTAGTGGCAAAGGCATGAATAAATAGAAATTCTTGAAACAAACGATATTAGAGCCAGGTTTCGACCAAATATAAAATCATCAAGTTACCTGTTTTTTTCTCAGATTGGTCACTTGATGCTCTACCTGGGCTATTTCTCTATCAATCTTGTTAATGGACTGAAGAAGTTCATCCTTCGATGTCCTTTGAGGAGAGAGACTAATCCTAGAATCTTCCCCTGGTAATGTTGGGGATATAGCTTCAACCTGAGGGTTGTATATCTGTTCCTGAAAGGGTCACACTAGTATATAGTTTCTTCTTAAGAGACAATGCATATTTCAAAATACTAAAAAGTATATAAATAAAATTGCATAACGTAATCACACTTATTAAAATGTAAAAACAAATTATTTTATATACACTAAGGTCTGCATGTGATTAAAAAGAATACAACTGAACATATTTGATTTACCTTAGAAAGTGCTGTATTATACACAATAATACATTTGTAATTTTGATATAAAAAAAAGTGTCATGTTTTTCCATTATGCTTCTAAGTGACTCTAAAAAAAATATATTCCACTGAGAATTTAGTAATCTTTTGACAATCAATGAACTGTTTTGTTCTTTAACGTAACAGAAATTAAGCATGATCTCCATGTTTAACCATTAGTACAAGTTTTTATTATAACAACTTCCAACACACCAGATATTTCAGAACCTATGATTGGCTGACTCCAAAATATTGTAAGAGATGTACCGTCGTGAAAACACTTTTTCACTAAATATTATAAATCAGCTTTTGACAAATGACACTTTGTTTTGCAGTCAAAATCACAAACACTGATATATCTAATCTTTATGTAAGGTATTCATTTCTTTATAAATATTATATACTGTTTGCCAAACAATTCAAGGCTTTAGAGTAACTTTAAAAAGAGTTATATTAGATTTATAAAACAGTCTGTTCCTTAAAATTACTTTGGCATGGTTTTATTAAACAAGTTAAGAATGATTTGAACTTAGAAAAAGACAAAAGTTAATTTTGTCGGGCCTTGTTCACCTCTTTGAGGTCAACTTTTAAACAAGAGGGTTACATAAGGAACATTCAGTCTTTCCTGGTTGATAGAGGGGTCAGACAGAGGACAACAACTAAAAAGGTCAATAAACACATACAAGTACTTTCCCCAATAAGGGATGCCATTGTTAAGGGTAGACAAGTTCATATCTGGGTCACAGACTTGTGTAACAAGTTTTTCTAGTGGTTCTCATCTTGCCTGCTAATCAAGCACCCCCCCAGGCTATCCTCCCCTCCTAACAACAAACTGGTCTCACTTGAGTAAACAGAACTGTCAAGACTAGTTCACACTAACCTGCCAAACCACATGCCATTGTTTTATATATTTTTTATCTTTCCTTTCTCATGGTGTATGAAGGTTACCTACACACGTGCTCCACCTGCTGGTACAGTCCACAGCTGCTGAGAAGAGGGGTGGGGGGGGGGGGAAGTATATTTTGGTTAAGCAAAGCGAGGACATGCTTGGCTAGTAAAAATCAATGTACACGGAGGTAACACGTACAAGCAGCCATTTTGCTCCAAAATCAAAACCCTCACACAAACATTAATGAAAAACCCAATGGTCATGCATCTTTACTTGTAACACAAGAACATAAAGTAAATTTGTTGAAAGCTACAGAAACAAAAACTCGTTTTTCATTTTTTGAACTCATTCTATCATATTCAAACAAAGAGTAATTTACTTTTTTATTGTTTTCAATGCATCATTGTTACATAAAGTAACTACGCTAGCGATTAATTAGTAAAACAGTTAGAGTAGAAATGAAAAGATACCAGTTGTGACAAACTAATTTTATGAACTACATTTTCAGTTACGTTTTTTCCTCTTTGATACAATAAACAACCAAATTTTTATAAATAAATACCTTTTTCACTTCCATAGCACCCAAAGTGTCAATGATGAGGGGCTGATGAAAAGGATGTTTTATTTCCACTGCTAACCGTGGCCTCTTACTAACAACAGAGTGGTCAAAGTCAACTCCAGATGGACCAATATTTGAACCAGCCAGCAAATTCCCAGGAGGTACAAATCCAGATGGCATGGAGGCAGCCATTTCTCTCTCATATTGATACCTATGAGCTTCTCGTTGGGCTCTAATAAAGGAAGATTATATCGATTTAAATAACACTCACAGTACATAATAGCTATTTTCACTACTTCTAATCAAAACAAAAGTTTACTTCTAAAAGAAAAAAACAAACTAACATTTTATTAATTTACACTTAACAGCAGAATGCTACCATTTGTAGCAATCAGGTTTTAAACATACTGTAATAGGTTATTATAGACCCATGAGAAATTATGGTACACAGTTAATTTTGAAAAACAAATCATATAAAAAGCTGACAGGGGTCTATATGATTCACATTGGAAATTATAGTGTTAATCTTTTAGCTTAATGGTTCCTCATAGCCCAAAAACTGGCTAAAAAACTTTTTTTAAATGCATCTCTAATATGACAGTAACTAAAATCACAATATATGGTTGTCTTCTACAATCCTTGAAGAACTGTTAGTGAGCTTGAGACCAAATATGAATATACATACTATTCTCCAAATACAAGAGTTTTCATTAAATGCGGAAACTTTTTTTTTTAAATAAATACTTTAGGAAGATGTACAATATAGATATACCTAAAGGTTTACGATTACTTAAACTCTGAGAAGTGTAAATTATACATGTATAGAACTTTCATATTCAAAATTAATTTTTTGAAGCACGGGAATTATAGTGAACTATTTCACAGTTGTTTTTGTACACTACGTATATTTTGTTCAGAACAAAGTACCTGAATATAAAGTTTGCATCTGTTGAAATTACATCACTGCCAGAAATTAAACAGCACACGTATTTGAATGTTTAAAATTAAAAAACAAGTGTTAAAAAGTCACTGATAATACTTAGATGTCGTAAATTTATTACCATATCAAGTTGAGAAGTAAATAAGCCATTAACTTCTTAATAGTGTTGTTGATTTTTTTTTTAAATCCAAACTATTTTATTAAAACTACAGGAGGTGAATTTGTTTATGGAACAAAAATACTCGTTGCAAGTTTAAATTAAAATCTATTATAATATTGCTATAAAAAGTATTCCTAAAATGATCATCAACTAATACCCAAAAGATCTGAAAAATTTTATTTCTTTTAGTGAAATGTTAAAACTACATTCGTCTATTCAGAGACTGGATTACTTTGTGCAATAAGGAATACCATCCACTAAAATAAATAAGACATAATGATAAACATTGTGAGCTGTGGCATCCATTTCAAGGTTACATTCATTACAGGCTCTGCATGGCTTCCATTATCGAATGCATAGCAGAGAACCTACGTGATATATACTCACATACATACATATAAACACCGCCAAAAACATTAGTTAAATCAACAGCATACATACATATAATTGGGTGATTGAGTCAGCATCAGATAAAAATTGATGAAAATTATATTCAATTAGTAAGAATTTCAAAAATTTAAGTTGCTTTTAAATTGAAATAAAACGTCTTTATCTAACAATCTAACAAAAAAAAACTAACCTCATCTAATATTTACAATGAATTATCTGATGTAATAGCACCCTAAAAATGTTTTTAACAATACTGCATCTGTCAGGTAATTCCAGTTTTAGATATAGAAACCTGATCATTAGCAAATAAATAAATGAAACAACTCAATGGCACAAATGCAGGTTCTTTACAAACCAGAGCATCCCAAGTTTCACTACTTTCCACGATATTATCAAAGGTCAGTTATGGTAAAATGTCTTGACCATTTAATATAACACCAGATCATGGCATATGACATATCCATCAAATAATTTTATATAAAATTCTTCTACTTTAAATTGAAATAAAAGTTATTAACAACATTATAATTTGATATCCTCCAATACAACAGACAAAAAAAAAAAGGTTAATCCTAAACTTGGTCACTAGATGGCTGGATACAATTATGAGAAATGCAATAATTAAACAAGTTCCAATATGATAAAGTTTTATTATCATACAATCTACAGATACAATTTATAAGAATAGACAAAAAACAAAATAAAACATCAATGTTTTATAATGGTTGGAGATGGCTTGAATGGGTAATGAAGAAAAACTTTAATATAAGTTTAACATAACAGCAGATGTACAACGTTTCGACAAGGTTTTGTCATCATCAGGTACAAGTAGTTTACACTGACACAGATATATATCTATACTATATATATATATATATATATATATATATATATATATATGTGTAGTATATACGTTACTACGTATAGTATATATAACTAACTAACGTAACGTAACTAACTAC